GCTTATTAAGTATGCAAGAGTGAAAGTTCCTTCCTGTTAGGTAGTTTCGTGAATAAACGAAATACTTCTGACTGAACAAGCAAGCTCATATAAACCAGAATAAACTTTCCAGTATGTACACTATCCAGCCATTAGGGGCCTGCTAAATGTGTGAGTGTATAAATATATAGAGAATACATAACATACTCAGAAAGTTTGGCAAAATTCCAAACTGTTTTCATCTTTTAATAATACTCGAACATAGAAATGTGAACTTCTATTTTCAGTGCAGGCTATAACTGCTGTACAACAATAACAATTAATTCACTTTTTCTTTCCGCTCACTATACCGATAAAATATCTCTTAGTTAATTACTTAAAATTTGGAATTCCGGTCATATGATGATAAGGAAGGTTCTTGGAAAATGTTATCTATGTGCAAATTCCACGTTATTTATATTGATTATGATGAAACACGGCAGGGGGGGGGGGATATGGCTTACCGGAGGATAAAATAAATACACACAGAAACCGCAACATGAAATGTTTAAGCACTATACAATAACAGACGACTCTTTTTGTCGTCACATCCTTGGAGGAAAAGTAGGCACGACTTGTCAGCGTTCTGGTTATGGCTAAGAGGTAGAGAATTTGAAAAACACATTCAAAAAAGTGAACTGGGTAACATTTAATGGTCATGTATAATATCTGAAAGTGAGGTCAAAAAACTACAAAGAAATAAAAATAAACAAACAACAGCACAGGAAATCAAATTTCTCAGCCAAGCATGAAAACGGTTGATGCTAGGATAGTGACGTGTAACAACAATTAATAAGATTTTAATGTGGTATAAGACATTAGTTCGCTGGGTCTATCAATTTGTTAATCAACTAGAGCTTGTAGTATTTCCTAAAAGTCAGTAAAACTCTAAGAAAATCGCCGCACCGATTTTAAACGTGTCTATACATCTCCTTAAAACGTCTGTATATGAAGAAAAAAAACGCAACAAGTACATTAAAAACATAAATACCATTAGAGCTTTTAAATACAAGTTTGTTTTTCGTATATAATCGTGCAAACCACACAAAAGTTAGCTGCACTAGTCGTCCTAATTTTGAATTGTTAGACGAAAGGAAAGTCAGCTAGTCAATAGCACCCACCTTTAACTCTTTGACTACTGTGGGATTTAACCGCCATTCTTACAGAGAGCGGAACGCGATTCTGTGGCAACCATGAATTATCAGATTTACAGTTCAGTACGCTAGTCACACTATTTTTTGTTGTTGTTTGAGGGGTTAGTGTATTGCACGAAAAAGTAGCCTATAGTAAATGTATCATACTTTTTTGTTTCTTAATATAATAGGTTGTACTAGTTAGTCAAAGTTGTCGTTGTTTTTTTTTGTAGAGGGGGATTACTGTGTTGCAAGGCACTGTGGCCTATAGTAAATGTATCATACTTTTTTGTTTCTTAATATAATAGGTTGTACTAGTTAGTCAAAGTTGTCGTTGTTTTTTTGTAGGGGGGATTACTGTGTTGCAAGGCACAGTGGCCTATAGCAAATGTATCATACTTTTTGTTCCAGCAAAAGCTACCAGTCTCCTGGATGAAGCTCTTTTTGATGAATTATTTAAAGCTACAAAAGCTATCAGAATATGCACAAACTCATAAAGGTCTGCTTTATAGTAGTTTGTTCTTCGCTTATAAAGCTCCATGCGTAGCAGTTTGGTTATAAAGCTATCTCGAGGGTACAATATATAACATAGCACGTCTTTCACGCTGGCGAATTTCTAGTTCAGAGGCCAGCAAAGTATTCAAGTCAACACTGTAAATACTCGTTAACTATTTTTCAACGAATAGAAAAAAAAACAAAAAAAAACATGTCACATGCAAGATTTAACAAGTTTACTTAAAAAACAACAACAACAAAAAAAAAAACACGGAACAGTCTCGAGTCTGTTCAGTGTTTCACGTAGAATGAAGATGACTAAACCGCGTGTAAACGGTAAATCTCACTTTTTTCCTGAAGTGTATTCGAAATTCAGACCAAAAACCTTGAATACTTGTATGTGGATCACGTTTCGAACTTACATGACATCGCTGGAATAAAAATTAATTATTTACTTACAATTTTTTGTTTTCCATAGTCGGTGTAATACGGTAAATCTTAAACAATAATAATATCATCTACAACTTTAAAACCGCTATTTTGAAAACTAGTGCATTCTAGCCAACGAGAAGAGAAACACCAAACACTACTACTTGGAACAATAACTTTCATACTATAATCGATATTTTGAGGAAAAAAATCTAACTGGTTTAACTAACATTCAAATACCTATTTTACTTAAAACTTTAGAAATGGTTCTTGGGTTTCAACGTAACGATATTACGTTACGCATCATTTGTAGTGAACGTTATGCCACTTTTTTTATATTACGTTCTAGTTTTCCATTGCAAAATTAACTTTATCGGGTGAGTTAACGGCAAAGACGTAACGATTAACTTAATGTTATATAACATGATAAAATTGGAGGTCCAATACGGCTTTTAATATTCTGTTGCTTACTTTATACCGGTTATGCTTGTTATTTAAAAAAAAATTACATACATTTAAAATTGTTATATAATAAGAACAACTGTAACAACGCTAAATAAATAAATAGGTATATTAATTATTTTTATACACAAACAGTCCCTAGACAAACAAAGTATCATTAAGGAAACAGTGTTTTTAACAAAGTTAAAATGGACAAAATGTTTATCATAATTTCATTCATACAAAACACTTTTAACAACATACTTTGCTTCTTAACACGATGTTCGTAACTGCAAATGATAAGTAAACGCTAGGTTTACAATTATCAAAACGTAAAGCCCGCCAATTTCTACTAGGCAAAAAATAGAATAGCTAAATGTGACAGTTTTTACATTTTTTTTCACATGAACTACATCAACTTTTTTTAATATGCTCGTCTGTATATAGAAATTCTAAACGTCATAATATTTTACTTTAATATCTTACTATTTACAGAGCTAAAAATACTCATTTATTATTATGTCTACTATATTGTGACAATAAAAGAAATAGTTATCATGTAAAATTAGAATGTTATTCACGTGAATCATGCAAAACACAGATATAAAGGTGAAATTAGAATACGTTATTCACATGAAACACACATAAACTAGTTATCACGGTAAAATTAGAATACGTTCTCCACGTGAAATATCCATAACCAAGCGCTCCTTGGCTGCAACATAACTTTACCTTTCTACCTTGGAAGATAAATGCAAAAACATTGAGAAAGGCTATAAAATTACAGGAAAATAAATTATTCTGTAATCGATTTTGTGGTCTCCAAGTATCGGTAAGGCTTAACCGTGTGTATGTGGGATTTCAATTAACATTACAAATGTTAAAAGATAAAATACATGCATAAATATCTTAACAAAACTTGTCGTCAATTTAGTAGAACGACCTCTAAAGAAATGAGATTCTATTTTACTAACATCTCCCATTTGTAACAAAGGTTTGTTTATTTACAAGATGCCAACAAAATGTTACAATGAAAGTTTTAAACCAATATGACATCTCGCCCCTAGATCAAGTGAGGCAAGATGCGGTTTGTAAGAATTCCACCATTAATTTGCCATCAGCGCAAAAATAAATAATAAAAAAACGACAAGAAAGGAAGATATAACACCACACATGAAGCTATCGACTTTAATAGTAACTTTGTTTTAAAAGTAATTATAGATTTTAACACTAACTTCTGGTATTGTAATACTAACTCTTGCCGTTATAACCCTAAAAACCTTTTAATATTATTTGTTTTAACCCTAACACCTCTTAACATTAAACCTAGTGTGATCAACACTAACCTCTTTCATTTTAACAATATCTTGTGATGTTCTAACCCTAAAACCTGATGTTTTATTCGGAGAAGTTACTTGTAAAATTATAAAATCTGTCTACATCTCAGCTTTGGTGAAGCAATATTTTATAAAAAATTTTGCAATGCTTAAACGTTAAAGTCTACGTTAATTAAAAAACAATCTGACAAAATAGGAGTATTTCAAAAACGAGAGAAAAAAAAATGTAAAAAAAGATAAATACTACTTTTAACCTGAAACACAAGTAAACAACAGCAATGTTTCAATTACTGTTTTAATTATAATGTTTATGATTATGAACCAATTTAAATTAATGCTTTTGTGTTTTAATAAAAACGTTCATAAAACAAACTAATGTTTCAATTAAGATTTGTACATCAGCAAAAATTTATTCCTTGAATATTCTTTAACAATATTAATAAACCAAACTAAAATAAATGCTTTTGTCTTTTCATAGTACATACCAAAGTGCATGATTTAGTCTTTGAATGATATCATTTGAAAACAAAAATAAATAAAAATTTTAAAACATACTTTAAAAATTAAAGTAAATGCCTTAATGATGTGCTTTAAAAACAAAATTGTAAACTTATGTATAAGTATGGTTAAATTAAAATGTTACACAAAGAAAATATAAAAATACATAGAATAAGAAATAATTATGTTGACATCCTGATCTTATATTTAGAATAAATTATCAGTCATAAGTTGTTTTTAACCCATTTTAGTTTACATAAAGTTGTATTTTTTTCAACAGCTGGTACACATGTAAAAGTAGAGAAAAGTACTACTAATACTACAAATCTACACTTAAAATTTTGCTTTTACTACATACAGAAACTAATTCTTTTCAACCATTCATACATATAAATACTTTTATCAGTCCATGTCATAAGAACACCAGTAAAAATTACTTCATTATGTTATCATACAAAACGTTGACAAAACTTTCAAATTTATCCTCATCACACAACTATTAAGTCAGTTACTTGACATAAAAATATTTTAGGGCATAAAATATATTTGTTCACAAACTCTTCCAAATCTAACAAAATTTAAGTATATTATTCAAAACTCTTATGAGATTTCCACTTGACTTTAAATCAGATATAAACTTATGCAACTGTTTTTTTTACATCAACTCTCAATTTCTTTTGATTTGTATATAGCATGATTTAAAATGTGTATTTTACAGGTTAGTTGAAAGTCACTACTCTGGGAAAAAACACCTGTTTCTTACTAATTTAGATCCAAATAACACATTTTCCCATTGTTTCATTCATTTTACTTTAATGTTATTAAGTTATATATACTATGAGAAATCCTAAGTTTTTAACTTAGATTTTCTATGTACAAAGTATCTTAATCACTTTTTAATGTAAGCCAATATTTTTCTACTATTTTTGCTTTTAATAGCTAAAGAAAGTTAAAATTCAAATGTTCCATTTAATCAAAACTTTTAATATTGTTTAAACAACTTTTACAAACAGTATTCCTATATTATAACACAACATGTGCAAGGATGATGTTAATAAAATGTGTCATTTATATATTTGTATATTTTTAGTAAAACATACTAAAGGATATTAAAAAGAAACTGAGAAAAAAGGAAATGATTATTTTCATTATCCTAACTTTAGATTACAACACAACCAAAAGATTTTGTTTACATAATAAAAAATATAGATTGTAAAACTGTGACATACAGAAAACCAAACACGTTTGATGTGCAACATAATTAGATCAATAACCATTACAATATATATATATATAAAAGCACTGTAAACAACATAAATAAATTATGTTTGTCTTTGGCAACTACCATATCTAACAAACCATCTTTAATTATTGACCAGACAGATAGATAAAAAAACATTAAATATCATAAATCTTAAAAACAAAGTCATACGAAAAGGTAAATGAACACATTACAGGATTATATAACTCAAGAAAAAAAAAATTAAAGTAGTACAGAAAGAAATTAGTACAACTCACTCACACAGAGCATGTCCTTACTGAATTTGTTCTTTTATATGTCTACTTTTAATAAACATTTTACATATTTTGTATACCAAGAACTTGCTGTAGTGTCTGCATAGAATACAATTATTGATTGAATATTCTCACATACATATGTATAGAAGAATTATACGTAAGTGTGTACGTTTCAGATGTGTATACAGAACATAACTACCAGTAAACAGAAATACTAAAGTGTCATTTTCACCAATATAAAAAATACACATTTAAATACACAACCACAGCACATATATGGAGGAAGCAAAAACTGTAGAGGACATATTCCTGCCTTGCTATAACCATGGATCAATCCATCAATTTAATAACCATTATTTTTCTCTCCCAATATTTTTCAACCATCAACGATGTGAACCTAACAGCAGCTAACACAAATACATATGAAAATGAGCACCCCGACAGGGGACAAAATCACCCAATTAAACAGCTGCTAGTATACATGCTAGCAGTAAATGTTATCTTTAGGATTTTGTAATTGCAATAGGGTTTAATTCTTTTCTGAGGTATTGTTTATAGTCACCTTGGGACTCTTCTTAGTTGGTGTTGTGCTTGAGACATCATCTTTGGCACTAGCCTGGTGGTTAGCTGAATCAGTGGAGCTTCCCGTACTGTTCATGGCTAGTTTTCTCATCTGTCGAATGACAGCCGTTGCATTGTATGCTTGCTGTAGTAAAGAGTTAAAGTTAATCAAAAGCTCAAAACAAATATGACCTTACTCACGCTGTGAAAAGCATACCTTTTTATTCAATGCAAAAGTTACAATTACTAAAACAGATGGTAGTAAGTTTCTTGATAGCATGTTGTTTCTTTTATGTTTTATAAAGTTCAATCCACAAAAATAAAATTCAAATAACACTGCTATTTTATTTGTTTGTTCAACAGATTAAATAATACTTTACCTAGCAGATACATTTCTTTTCTGACAGAAAGGCATCAAACGTATTAAATATTAAGGTAAAAAATTAATTACTTTAAGTATTTATTGGAATAAGACCCATCAAGTTATTACTTTTCAATGAAAGCTTGTTTTACTTAAGCTTAAATTATATTGCTTTGTTATCTCAGTATTTCAAATATCACATCTGACAAATGCTTATAAAGTTTATTTCTTATTAAAAAAAAATGTTGTGTTGGAAACCCTAATACATTTGTAAAAGAATAAATAATATTTTTCCAAAATTCAAAAGTTGTATCTATCTGTCTAGCTAACAACCAATAACTACTCTCTAGTTAACAGTAATTTCCTTCTCCATTTTTCGGCTGTAATGTGAAAAAATGTAATCATTGATATATTGTGAAGAAGTGCATTTTGGATGAGAAAATAATGTAATTTCCATTAAAATGTTTCTCAGTTTTGGGGATCAGTATGCTTCACAATATACCCCCAGTTACTGTAGTAGGTCTTGCTCAGTTTAGCTTATCAAAATCTAGATTTGTCTTTAAAACTTTTGGTGTCTTCTGAGCATATTTTGTATACTGATGTTTAGGAGAACTTAATAACCACTAAAATATAAAGCAAAATTTCTTAATTTTTAAAGAGATGTTAAGAATATTAAGAGTACAAACCCTCCATTTTGTCTTAGCAAAGTTTTTCTTCAACTGCTCACTAACAGTTCCATGGATATTGGTGTCCTTAGCCGTATTTCCTGAAATCCTACACAAATGAGCAGGTTAGATGAATTTTCAGGTAATTTTCAAGTTCTTATTGTAAATAGGATATAAGCATCAGTTTTAAGACTACAATTTTCCAACACTTTCAAAACTCAACAACATTCCAATTGCAATGCTTAAAAGTAACAGAGATATATAGGTGTAAAAATATTTGACATTTCTTCATAGTGTTTCAAAAATTCTTCACGTGGATGAAAATTGAAGGAAAGCAGTGGAAATGATACAAGTAAATGAATTCAGATTGTGTAAGTATTGAATTGGTACCATCAAACATTTAGTAAATAAATAAATATTTTTGATGCAAAATTTAACTTGTATAGAGATTTTATAAATCCTCAAACAGCAGCAAGAGAAGTAAATTGAGAAGGTATTTCAAGTTTTCACTGAAGGAATTCACAATAATTCAACCTTTATTCTTTGTATAAAAAAAACTTATCATCATCAACCCTGCCTCATATTTAAAGTTTTATTGTCATTCTTTTAACAATGTCATTTCCACAGAAATTGTCTATTTCTTATTTCCTTTCATTTCTAAATATATATACACACATATTGACATTTGTGTAGAAATTACTACTCACAATTTCTGTCTGTATTTATTATATTCTAGTTATCATAGAATTTGATATACACAGTTATATATATTTTATGCAGTTCACAATTATAAGCCTAATAATGAACCACAATAGTGGTTCATAATAGGGATCACCCCAGAATTTCAAAAAATTCTAATAGAACATACGGTTGAAAACCATCTTAACAAGCAGATTTGTTCTTCAAACAACACTCAAGACCTTCTATCTCAATGGCTAAGGCTGTTAAAATATTGATAATAGCAAAAAAAGTTGATTTTCTAATTGTTAGACAAAATTCATCCATTTGTTCTTCATATTATTATTATTGTTTCTCAAGCCTAGAGAACAATTGGCTATGAATATTTTGTTAAAACCTGAGCAAAACTACTAAGAAAACTCTTGTGCTGGTCATAGGACTATTTCTATGTTGATTCGTGAAAGAAAAGGAGAAACTTTATGTTTTTCCATCACTACTGGCCTAGTTTCTCTTCAAAAATATTCAAGCTCTGAAGCCTACAGCAAAATCAGTTAGGTATACTTTGCCAAAATCTATGCACAGCTACTAAACAAACTCTTGCAAAGGTTGTAGGGCTATTTTTAAGTTGATTCTTGAAAATCGAGATTTCCCCCCTCTAATATTTCTAAGTTCTTCTTTGCTACCAACATAAGCTCTTCAAAGCCATTCAAGCATTGCAGAAATGAAGAAGACATTTAAGTACCATTATACTAGTCGGAAACACTCCATTTTATCAGAGTAAACTATGTGTATATTTATAACAGTGTCTCCAGCCTTATTATTATTATTGATTGTAGTTTTAAAGCCGCTACAAAAAAAAAACAGCTAAGAATCTTTTACTGAAACCAAGACAACAGTAATGAATGCAGTATTGAGTTTGTCATAGGGTAGTTTTAAAACTAATTCAAGTGCCTTTGTTTTGTTGCCCTGAAGAATTTCTCCAAGTTCTTCACTTTCCGCCATTGAAAAAATCCAATTGGAAAATCCATTAATTGGAAAATAATTTGTGCAACTTATAGCACATTAATTGGAAACTGCCACTAAGTTGATAAGTACTGTAGACATGAAGTCAAAATAGGGAATCATAGCTTGAGAAAATAATGTAGATACTATTTCCAGACTAGTTTATTCTTTTTTTTTTTTTAGAGTCCCTAGTTGTAGGCTTGAAAATATAATCCTTGCATTTTGATTCAACTTGTTTCTGTACTTTTTTGACAATCCCTATTCCCCTTTTCAAATTAAGAATTCTTAATTATATTGTCTTCTTTTTTCAATTTACCCTTGCCAGAATTTACTGAGGAAGGGTGGACTTCCTCAAAATCAGTACAACTCAGTGGCAAGAATGAATCAATGATAGATTGGACTTCATGTATTGTTAACATCTTCAAACAGTTTAGCTGTTAAATAATTAAGGATAAATTAGTAGCACTGATACTACATACTCTTCAAATCCTATATAAACATAGGTTCACTATAATGGGTAAATGACAGCATATAATATACAGCTCACCACTAAAAAAAGCCTAGCCTTGATTTTTTTATCAATTTGTCTTTGTCCAGGGTTACTTATAAGGTTAGAATTCAATTTGTTTGCTGAACAATTCAGAAGAATAAATTAATACCATAAATGCTACATATATTTTTCAAAATCTGTATGAACATAGATTTACTGTGATGAATAAAAGACAATAAAAAAACAACTACACATATAACTGGTCTGCTGCTATAACCTAAAAATTGTTCAGAAAATTCTGACATAAGGAAAGTACTTTAACATTTGCCATGTTGGAGATCTGTCTTTTACTGGTGTCTAATGTAACTCACTAAAAACTGGTTCAAAACTTAGTTCTTTAGTTTAAGTTAGTTTAGACAATTATTTTAGTAGGATATTTTATTTTTGTCATGTGCTGCCACCTATTATCACCTAATAAAGTAGCACACTCAAGCTTTTTTCTTCATTATAGATTTCTAAATGAAAATACGAAACATAATGAATTGAGTATTTCAAGCTCTATATGGTATAAGTATTAGATGAAAACAGAGATAGAGAATTTCTATATTGCAGGATCATAACAGAAAGTTTTTGGATAAGTTTGAAAACGACCAAGATAGAATTACAAGGTTTATATAAAAAAATTCAAAAATAGAGTGACAAAATTAATAAAAGAAACATTTATACATTTCTTTCGCTTAAAGTAAAATTAAATAACTATATGAAAAATACAAAAAACACCACAGTTGCAGTAATCTACAATTAATCAAAACTTTGGTGCATAACAGTCATGATACTAAAAATTAATAAACACATCTTCTTGACAACATAGAAATAATATTCCATAATTACCAAATAAACTCCATATCATAAACATTATATTCTAAAATAATATCATACATCTGCTTAAAAGTTTTAAAATATATCCTTGTGCTATATATGTGGTTACCATTTTATCTAAATTATTAAACTGACTACCATATTGCACTAAGTAAAAATTCTAAACTTAAGGATCAAGTAATTTACTGATAATTATCTTTAGTGGTACTATTTCAAACACTGTATAAAGTAATGATTTCGAGAAGGTACCATAAATATTGTACTTTATTATTATTATACTTCCAACAAGAATACAACTACAACAGTAAAGTACCATGACACTCTCAGTTAACATGTAAAACAATATACTTACCATGGATGAGCCAATGCTTTTTTGCAGGTAAACCTTTTGTCTGCATCAACACAGATCAGGTGACTGATAAAATCCTTTGCTGAAAAAATATTCATGGCATTAAAATACAATACATATATAATTTTATAACTTTGAACAGTTAAAAAAAAAGAAACAAGAAATAAAAAATTTATGAACATATGTATCAAAAGGGTAAGTATTCATTTTGAGGCTCAGAACAGCTTCATAGATAAATACATGTTCAAGCAAGTATATTCAATCACAGAATATCCAAATTTTATGAGGCTAAATTTTTCTGTTGTATTATATAATGTCTGTGTTTAGTTAATAACAAATAATTCTTAAAGTTACTTCTGGTAATTAGTATCAAATATATCTTCACTCTGAAAGACAGTTTTATTTAGAAATGTTACAAGGGGTTGTGGTAAATAATTCCTAAAGTTACTTCTGATAATTAGTATCAAACATATCTTCAGCCTGAGAGAGTTTTATGTATAAATGTCACAGGCAGTTGTAGTTAATAATCTGGTTAATAACAAATAATCCATAGAGTTACTTCTGGTAATTAGTATCAAATATATCTTCACTCTGAAAAACAGTTTTATCTAGAAATGTCACAAGTGGTTATCAGATACCTTAGAGCTAGGATAATAGTCAATATCAAGAAGTTTATAAATAATGACATCATCTTATTATTCTTATGACACTATAATTATTATTATTATTACTAGATATTTTCAATAGCTTTTCAAAATAATGAATACATTGAAATATCAAGAAACTTAAAATTATAATTATCTATATTAACTATAAAATATGGTAATTAAAAAGTCTACATGAGCTAAAATGAGTAAAGTATCATTTATACACTTTTGCTCATTAGTAAATTTGTGCTAATCAAAAATTGCTAAACAAATTACATGTACTTTTTTGGTAAAATCGTTCTTGACCATTTAAAAATTATTCAACAAAAACATAGTTTGTAATAAGCATTTTATTTTTTTACAGTGTAAATAATGTTATAGAAAACAAGTGTGCATGTAAACAAATAAGTATGTGTATATTTATGTAAGAGAGAGAGAGAGAGAAAATGAGGGATCTTTATCATCAGCTTATTTCTGTTGGTGATATGATAACGTTTTCAAGTGTTGCACTGGATTTTCTGAAAATATTGATCAATACGATCACGATTACATTTTAACGAAGATGTTTCAGATTACAAAACCCTTACATGAGTTTGTGAGAAGAACCATCTATGATGTTAAGACAAACAAATCCTTAAATTATACAAAACCTAAGATGATTTTACCTGAGTTTGATATGTCATCCCAATAAGGAGAATCAAACTCAAATTCTCCTTTTAGAATCTGAGCAAACAGGTTAGCATCATTTTCATCATAGAAAGGTGGATAACCACACAATCTACAAAGAAGAAAAATTATATTCATACATAGTGTATATGACCTTAAAAATTTTAAAGTATAAATAAATAAATAATCAAACTAATGCTTTTCAAAAAAGTCACTCATCACTCAAGAATTTTTTCTGTCATGGTAAAAATGTTTTAAACTTCCTTCAGTCACTTCTATTCTCTGTATATTTGTTTCATTCTGTTACACTAAATAATACAGAAAAAAGGCATGAAATGTGCAGAAACAGAAACCAGCATACTGAATTTTGAAAATACTGTAATATTTACCTAAACCAATAGTAGATTTTTTAGAGAACATATTGTCATTGAAACTTTATATCTACATTTCTTTAAGTACCTATTCAAGTATACATACTATAAAATACTTCTTGAATTCCACATTTAAAAAGTTATACAAAAACCTACAGAGTAAGAATCTCTAACCTAGGCATTGAGAGCCAACACTGTTCAAAACTAGTCCTCAGCTGATTATGGTATGGATTTTATTATTTAAAATCTATAAAAAAAATTCATATTTCAAGTTATAAATTTCAGAGTAAGTATCACATTAAAAGTTTGAGGTAATTTGGTAAATTCTCTTTGTTAACCCTTTAATTAACAACTTGTTTTTATACTTTTCACTAGCATTGAGATCCACATATTACATCATATTGAGTAATATTATGTTTTTTGTCTGTTACAGCACTCAAGGTAAAGAACTGATCACAAGTATTAGGTGAAATCACTTATTTTGTATGTAAAATACATAGAAGACTCCAGCAGTAATTAATAGAATGAATTTTGAAATCATTTTTTTTTTTTTTATTTTTGTGTGACTCCTGTTATTATGAACCATGTAACCAATAAACTTTTGAACTCGCAAGTAATTTGGTACATGAACGGTTTCGAAAAATGTGTTTAAAAACTGTTAGACCACAACAGCAATAAATTCTAGGATTAATGCTGATTCATGAGAGACAATATCACAGTGTAACTTAAACACTTCCTTATGATATACAAGCAGGCAATATTTCCCACAGGACTCTTTGAAGTCCTTGCATAAATAACAAGAGTAACAAGAAATAACACATTATTTTTCCCAACTTATAAACTATGTTAGCTACAGAAAAAAAAGAACACGTAGACACAATTAAGGGACACAACTTCTGAAGAAATGTTTCATCAAACAAATCCAGATTTTAATTAAAAAATACAATAACAACAACTTCAACAGTAGGCAAGTACTTGTTTTAATAATTACAATATTTCAACCCAAACTGCTGAATTATTAACATGTACGAGTTCTGAATGTAATTTCAGTTCAGAAGGTTCATCACTAAACATGAAATACAGATTTTATCCAAGTTATTTTATAAATAAAGCTTGTATAACCTAATACTACTCATGTAGATAGTATGAATAAAACAGTTTCCCATGCATGTTACTGTGGCTAATTGTAGTCTTCAATAATTATTTTCACAATCTAAAATACACAAAAAGTATAGGACCATGTGAACATAACTACTATCTTGGAATAAAAAAATGAATTAGTTTTGAAACAAAAAACTACATGAGATGCAATTAATATCATTGTTTAAATTTCAAATACATAGAAAAAACAAATAATGTTATTTTAAATCATTTGTGTATGATTATGTTGGCTCAGGTCCTACTAAGGACAAATATATTGAAAGTTTGGATGTATATATATAGTCCGAACCAGCATATTGAAAATTTGGATATATGAAAGTCTGGACAAAGTATACTTAAATCTTGGATATGTAGAAAATCTGGACCAGCACATTGAAAGGTTGGATATATGAAGAGTCTGTACCAGCAAAGTTTGGGGATATGTAAAGTTTGGACTAGATTATTGAAAGTTTGTATATATGAAAAGTTTAGACCAGCATACTGACAATTTATAAATGTGGAAAGTTTGAAAATATTTTTCAAGCTCAGGAGCAGTGGATTTAGGTGTTAAATTAAGTTACACAGCAGGCAGTTTGAAGATTAATAAAAAACCTTTAAGACATCTTCAAGATGCTGTAATGTTGAAAAGTGAATAGACTGACTTAGTCTAACATGTGTACCTTCATCTTTGAATATGGTAATGTTTTAGTCAGATTTTTATGACATTAAAGTTTTAAAGAGAAAAAGGTGTGTGAAAGAACTTCTACTTTAGAAAGTTACAAAAAAATACAGATTCCCCCTCATTTCCATACTAACAAATGTCCATGCATGAATTTAGTATAACAGAATCTTGGAAATTCTATAGCATTAAGTATTATCTAATACTTATCTTATTAGTTTTAGTAATGACTATTACAACTAGAGTTAAACAATTTGTGGAATTTGCTAATAGATTAATCAAAAGGCTTATTAATCAATGAGAGCACATATACCCCATTCTACAGCTTTGTGCTTAACAATAAACAAATATAATAGCAATATTTTGATTATTGGATAATTAGAATAATCACAAATAGTAATAATTGGAAACGCTATTCTCGATTAGTTAATTATTTTCACCAGTTGTGACATTAAGCTGAACAAACTTGTCTTAATCAAAAATAATGAGAAATCATAATGCCAATGCTTGAATTACTGGATAGTTGTAATAACTGGAAACAGTAGTTTCATTTAATCATAATCTCAATTAAGCAACTATTTTATGTGACACTAATCTGTGTAATCAAATATATCAATTAATCAATTTTATCTCCCAGCTTTAATTAGGTATATACAAGTTCTGATTAAAACAAGCACATCTACTGGAGATAATCTTAAATTCAAAATAGCTATTAACAAGTAGTTTGTACAGGGTAATTTTCTAACCTGTCGATGCTGAAAGTTCTCATCATTTTGCAATACGTCAAGACAGTCATAAATGCCTACTTCAAATTGAGAGTTTCACAACACATTGTGTAAATATTTACATATAAAAATGTAACCTGAGATACTTTATCCAACAGAGAATTATAAAGCAACAGAATTGTTTAAAATCAGTATTTTTGTTTCTTATATTGAAACTACTGTCCTCCCACACTATTTTATTATTATAAATATTACTTACAATATATAAGCAATTACACCTATTGACCATACATCTACAGCTTTTCCATAAGGTTTCTGAGCTAGTACTTCTGGAGCTAGAAAAAGAAAAGCACATGATAAATTACATTTTAAAAGCAACCAAACCCTAAAAGAAAATCTTGCTTAAGAAAACATTCTAAAAATATATGTAGAAGATTTTCCAAGAGTAGATTGAAATATTCCTGTACTATAAAATGCTAATGACTGATAAGTAATATCGCTGAATGTATTCTTCCTTCTTAAATGTCTTTTGGGTCTACTGAAATAAAATTCAAACTAACTTACAATAAGCTTAAGCTACAACCTCTAAATGGCTATGTTACCATGAATGAAATGTTATCATGACAATCAGATGCAAAACTTTCAGGTACACACTCGTACTTACAAGAAATATCATACTCGTCTTTCAATTTTCTGAATGTATGCTACACTTCCATTAGCTATTTATTTTACCATGATGAGCAACTGTTTACAAATACTGCCCTATTCTGTTCATTTAACAAGACTATGAAAATGACTGTAAAATTAAATTCATATAAATAATATTTTCAAATAACATTACATAGTACTAAAGTAGTTCAGAGAAGTTTCCTACCTACATATCCAGGTGTTCCACATGCTGTGGCCATTATTCCTGAATCTTCCATTTTAGACAGTCCAAAATCACTAATCATGATTTTTGAGTCATCATCTGGACTATAATAAAGCAAATTTTCAGGCTGAAAAAAAAAAAAATTGGCCCAGGTAAAATATAAAGCCCATACTTATTTGCTTTATCTAAAAGTTTGTAATAGAATTTTAAAATTTATAGAAATAGTCCCTTTAAATTTTCACCAAGCTTTACAAAAAAAACTCATATTCTATGTGGGCAATACAGTATTACCTTTAATGGAAAATTCTAGTTCTAATGATTAATTAAAAAAAAAACCCATAAAGACTGTTGTATCAGTACTATGGTGTATGAGGACTTCCACTTAAACAAAACCCCCCCAAAAAAACTGCAAATTTACAAAAGTGGCATCTGTTGAGCTGTATTCAACTTTTTGAATTAATAAAAATGTCAATAATGGCAAACACAATGAATTTTATCAAAGATGTAAAGAAGGCACAAATGACAAGCTTGTCACTATCTTTAATGATCAGGTAAAAGTCCAAAACTAAATGTAGATTAAGATGTCAACATAGTCTCTAAAACTCATCATCAAAATGTCAGAAACCTATAACATACAAGACTCAAGTTATCTTATCACAGCTAACAACAGAACAGTTGTCAAAGTCTATCAGTAAAGTAGTCACTTCTTGTTTGAAATGTGAAAGGTTTCCTTCCATCAGCAACACTGCTTAAAAATCCATCAATTGTGAAAATACAAAAGTACAGATCCTTTAAAAAAAATAAAACTGAAAGATACATTTGTGCCAGTGTCATTACAGACAAACATCTAATAAGTGTGAACAAATTATTAACAATTGATTTAAAATAACTCAATTCATCTGGATTTTCTTTAAAATATTTAAAATTCCATCACTTTTTAATTAATTTTTAATTTCATTTACTACCCCCACATCATGATAAAAAAACTGTGATTCCTATAAAAGTTACTTTACTGCACCTCAAAACTAATTTAGGTCTCTTGATATTCAAGTCCATTCAGTACATCTTATGGTCAGGTGCAGTAAAGTCTTATACAAACTACTTTTAATGCATCACATGGTCAGTTACTCTGACTTCCTGTCTAAGCTACTTCATTACCCTACATAATCAGATGCTGTGATTCCCCATACAAGCTACTTTATTACCCTACATAATCAGATGCTGTGATTCTCTATACAAGCTACTTTATTACAACATAGAATCAGATGCTGTGATTCCCCATACAAGCTACTTCATTACTCTACATAATCAGATGCAGTGATTCCCCATACAAGCTACTTTATTACAACATAGAATCAGATGCTGTGATTCCCCATACAAGCTACTTTATTACCCTACATAATCAGATGCAGTGATTCCCCATACAAGCTACTTTATTACAACATAGAATCAGATGCTGTGATTCCCCATACAAGCTACTTCATTACATCACATAATCAGATGCTGCGATTCCCTGTACAATCTATTTCGTTACACCACAGAATCAGATGCTACAATTCCTTGTACAATCTATTTGTTACACCACATAATCAGGTTCTGTAATTCTCTGTACAAGCTACATCATTACACCACATAATCAGGTTCTGTGATTCCCTAAACATGCAACTTCAGTACACCACATAATCATCAAGTGTATTTGTGTATGTGTCCATTTATTACTGAAAAACCACTGGACCAATCTTAACTAAAACTGGCATTTACACTTACGATCCTATCAGGAGGGCATATGGAGGATAGCATTCAGACCTGACCCTCCTGTAACACCACACAAGGGTCTCTATTTTCCCCAAGAGTTGAATGAGTATGTCAGCTAGTAATATAGTAAAAAGATGGGTGTCTGACTGATTATACCAGATGGTGAAGTGTACCTAAAAGTGAAATGTGCAGACTGTCTATGACAGTTGCTACAATGACTGAGAAATCAGATATCTTTCTGTAATAATTACAATATATTGGAAAGTCTGCCTTTAATAGTTGTTATAACATTAAAAAGACAAGTGTCTTGATTGGCTATAACTGTTGCTCTAATATCCTAGAGATGCAAGTGTCTGATGGGCTATAATGGTTGCTATATATATATATTCTCGTGCTTCAAATAATAGTGTAGGGTGGAAAAATATCAAAAATTTAATAATGGTTCAGGCATCAAATTTAATGACTGTACAGGTTCAAATCATAGTACAAATTTAGTTTTTCATTAAAGATGACTGAAAAAATAAAAAAATTGTGCAGATCCAAATAAGTATCATACAGAGTGGAAAATTTCTCCAAAATCAATAACTGTACAGGTACAATTGTTTGGAACATGAATTTACCAAAAATTGATTATTTATTAAATGATTCTTTAACTTTCAATAAAAGTTGTTGTAGCATAATCCAAAGTACGAGGTTTTCTGAAATTAACTACAATGTATTATCATAAAAAAAAAATGTATTGAGAATAACAATAAAAATTGACTTAGTAGACTTTTGAAATAAAGAATATTTGCTATCCCTATCATATTAAATTCTTTCAAAGCAACTAAAATTATTGGAAAAACTTCTGCATAACATTGTATAGTCAGGTTTCATGTATTTCTGTAATTCACTTATGTTGATAGATGAGATCTTAACTAAAATTTATTCATAAAAAATAATTTGTATTGATTTACACACTACAAATGATTTCCAAATACACACACCCGTCCTTCATCAATTGGATCTTTTTTTATCCAAATAGAATTTTCTTAAGGAAGATTCTATATTAATAACAAAAGGAATAAATTTAACAAGTAATTATTCAGGTGGTGATGTACCACGACAGTAATAGTTAAAGTTTTTCTTTTCTAAACCAAAAAGTAATAAATGAAAAAAGGGAAAAATAAGTCATGCATCATAAAAGTTAAGATAATTATTGAATGATTTATTATTATTATAGTGTGACCTTTTCAAAAGATTAAGAAATAGTATGATGAAGCAACCTCACTTTTTATATCATCATTTTTTAATTTTCCCTCCTCCAGAAGAAGGAGGGTCACATATTGTATCTCCTATGTTTCTTTCTTCTTCCTTCCAATATTTACAATTGTGCACCTCTCCTTATTTCTGTGTCAAATGTTTTGAAATTTGAGAGCATATAGTTTGATCCAATACACCCAGATAACTTTTTAATTATTTTTTTTTTAATCTTGGGTGTCAAAAATCATAAATCAAAAACAAATTTCATTCTGTAATTCTCTTACAGTTCAATCAATCCAAATGAGACTTGCCACAAAGATACCTTGCAACAACCGCTACCAACAAAAGCTGACGTATTTCGGATTTGTGCTTTTTTTTTATTTTACAGGAATCAAATGTAAAAAATATATAGCAAAATTAGGGGTTTTGATCTGTCATTCCTTTATATTTTGACTAGTCTAGATAGTACTTTGCACAATCATACCTTGCAAACAACAGCCTCTACAAACTGAAATAGATGTCTGATTTGTCCTTTTCTTGAAATTTTCCAGGGGTCAAAGGTCAAAATATTTCTTAGATTACTATTTTAGCCTGCCAATCTTCTATATTTTGATCAATCTAGATGAGACTTTGCACAAACTCACATTATGAGAGCCCTCATAGACTAAAGTAGACATAATTGGGATTTCTGTCTTTATTTTGGTTTTACAGGAGTCAAAGGTCAAAACATTTCTCAAAACTAGGGTTTTCATCCTGTATTTATTTTCTTATCAATCAAGATGGTGATTTATCACAAAGATAACTTGTGACAATCCCCACAAACTGAAGCATTTGTGTTTTGTTATTCAGGACTTTACCGAGGTTTAAAAGGTGTCAAATTTCAAAATATTTTGTAGAATTAGGTTTTTGGTTTGTCATTCTTCTATATACCATCTTATTTCCCTTTAAATTACCTGTAAAGCTTTTTGCCATTGTGAATAAATCTATTTATGCAAAAACTGTCTTACGTATCAAAAGGTCACAATTTAGTATGCTCCAACATATTTTTCTCACAATAAAGTGTCAAGTTGCTAATGTGTTAAATGGCTATCCCTCTAAAGTATAAAAGTTGTAGTTTATGCCTTTTTCCCCGCCTTTATTACCATTTTCTCTTGAAATCTATTATATTTTGAGGATCTTGTCAAACAAGATGGATAGGAGAGAGACATATTGAACTGCTTACAAATGTTGCCTTTTCTTGTTGTTTTTTTCAAAATCTCATATAGAAAACAACTTTAATTAGACAGAAAAAAAACATTCTAAAATTCTGTTAGCCAGGAGGTAAAAACTACATTATTTTAGGATACAATAAAATTGCCTCACAACTTTGTTTATTTAAGTTCTGTAAAAAATAATGTCATTGTGTTTTTTTATGGTATTACACCTAAAATGTCATCTGTTGTTAATCATAAACTTGGCTGACCTTCATGTTAAGCACACTTTATCCTATACAGATTGAAAAACTATTCAAGTAATCTCCCAAATTATACAGATGTTAATATAACTGAAGAAAATCTAAGTGGCAACAGAAGTGTAATATTCTGGCAACTGAATTAATAGTATGTGAGTGATGATAAGCTCAAATCTATAAAATCATAAATTATGAATATATTATTTTTCCAAACTCTTAATTAGCAAAAGTAAACTTCCATACATTAAAATGTATTACTTTGTAAAAAATATCAATGCCCAATGTGAATTTTAATTATCTATTTTAAGCTCTTCTGCATAATTTGCTCTCAATTAAAATGAAAATACCTTTAAAAATGTTCATAGATGAAATAACATTAGTGGGAGAAAAAAAGTGAAAGCACAGAGAAGATGTATGAAAGTATCTGTTAATAAAGCTGCTCTAGAATCCCACGGTTGCTTATATAAACTAACAAGGAAAACTACTCAATAGTAGAGGCAGTTGAAACGGGAAAACTTAAACTTTGTCCTTAGAGTAAGCAAGTTCAGCCTTGTCAACTTCCTGTGTATATTAATATACATAACATGGGACCTTATTAAAGAACCTGAGATAACATACTTTTCTATTTTTGTTTATTTAATGATCCTTTCTTCCCTGACATATGTCTTATTTTAGTAAGAAGGAATGTATTTGATTATTTAAGTGATGAATTTTCTCAGTAATCAAACCCAATAAGCATTAGGCAGCTGTGTTTTTTAATAGAAGTACACTACGTTATTTCCTTCTAAAGTTTTGTTCAAGACTGTAACAGACTATCATCAGCGTTTAAAATTGCATGTTTTGGTTTCACTTATTTTTCTACCAAATAAATACATGTAATAAAGAGCAAAACATTTATTCCTTTCTAAAAATGTTTTAATATTCGTTACTAATATAAGAATATTCTCTCTCCTTTATTTGAATTTTTCCATCTCAAATTCATTATAGTACTTTCATGTTGACAGCCATAAAAAGATTTTTCTAAATTAAATGTAAGGGATTAAAATTCACAGCATACCTAATTTATCCCCAGTATGTTTATAATTGCTTGTTGTGTGTATGAAGAACATTCTGAAGAAAGTAGTTATAGTCATAAACTATAAAAAAAGTGTATTCATACACTATGAAAAAATAATGTGTGAACAAGTTAGGAAGAAAAAATGTACAAGTTTTGAAAATATGAGTGTGTGTGTGTGTAAGATATGAAGAAAGGTGTGTAAGCTATCAAGAAAAGGGTAGTGTACATGAAAACTATGAACAGTAGTGTCCTAGTACTGAAGGTCAGAGTAGTGCATGTATATGATAAAATAAGTGTTTGAACTACAGAAAATAGTATCTATAAGCTACAAAAAAGACCACTGACAAATTTACTAAAAACTACCTAATCTCATAAACATAAACTAATAAGTTTGTGTGTGTGTGTTTGTTTGTTTGGACAAAACAGATGTTAAAATGTTATAATTATACTATTACACGTTGTTTGATGGTGTTACAGAATGTCAAAACATTATTCATTATCAGTTTGCTTTTAATTTAAGAGGTTAATCACTTGACAAAAAATTAAACCAAAGTCCCCAGAAAGCCCCATTACTTCTCTATGAGTTTTTACACAATTTAATTTGTTATCAATCAGTTAATTGTTAATTGTCATCAGCAGAGGAAAGATTAATATATCATTAAAATGTTCTTGGTACAAAGACGTATACACACCAACAAGTATATATTTTAACATCACTACAACTCTTATATAACTACTATTAGTAGTTTATACCACAGAAAGTAATACTTTTGCTAAAATTTCTTTTAAACACTCGATGTATAATCGAATTAAATATTACTTTCATTGGCAAAATTAGGAACAAAATATATAAATACATCTTCACAGGCAGTTACTTTTATCAAGACCATCCAGTAAGGGATAGCTTATTTAGTACTTGGTGAGCAACTTTTTCTAAACACCCAAGCTTCCTAAACTGTGGGTCACAATACCATTTGGACCAAGGAAATTTGCAAACATATTACACCACAGGTTCATTATTATGTACCAATGTTGATACCCTGTTGTGTACACAACTCGTTTGAGTAAAAATTACATATAAACACTACAATCAAAACACTAAATATAATAATGATCAGAATTAGACATCATAGTGAAATTTCTTCAAAGTATTTTCTTAGGATATTATGACAAAAATAATAATATACTGTTTACCATTAGATGTTACCTGACAATATCATAGAGAATAATATTTCAATATTGGTTAGCACAAAATTACAAAAGTAATATACTATTTATTATTATGCATTAACTGATCCCACATTTAATATTAAAATTTTTTGAATGCATAAATAAGAATGACTGTAAACTGAACATTCAGTAAAAGTGTTACAAGTCATTTGGCAGTTGAATGTACATGAAATGTCCAGTTCGTATTAGTTTACTTAACTACATGTAGCTATTAATTAGATACTATGAATCTTACAGAATCTCTATACATATACACACACAAACTATAAATCAATGCTAAAGTTTAAAAGATCATCCTACACTTGCATTGTCAATATTTAAGAATACTACTTGAAATTGTTACTGTTTTTACTGTTTTGCATTAAAGCTAGATTAAATATGCTGAAATTACACAATCTTAGTAGTGCTAAGTAACTAGCTATCCTTGATGAGAAATAAGCTAGTATGGAAAAAATAAAGCATCTGAAACTTTCATGATAGTGAGAGGTGTCCAGGAAAATAATACTTTCTGTAGACCAACCATATCAAGTAATTACAACCAACAAATATAAAGCAGTGGTGATGAGAATGTAAGGAAATTTGATCCCTGTAACGTATCATACATTTCCTCCATTATTCAGTGAACTTTAGCATTCTAGTTTGGTACATGCAGCTGAGTTAGTTAAAATGGAGAATACTTCCCTATCTTAAATGGATATCCTGATCTGGTGCCTTGGTCCTCTTAAGAATGGTCTGGAATAACATCACTCCTGGACACCTGATGGTTTTCAGAAGCAACTGCATGTGACTGGATTAATAACATCACATCTGCACATTACCTAAAGTGGTGTGATGAAGCTTACAGAATGATGGAGAACAGGAATAGTAACTAATAGAGATATATGATGAGGAAAACCTACATCCTCAAAATCACTGATCTGTGAGTTGTGGTGGCATCATAATATGGTTAGTCTACAATTAAATAAGAACACTTCTTTCTGCCACTTTTTGTTCTAAAACAATATACAGTTCAAATCAATAATTAGTAAATACTTTATGTTTTTCATCATCATCTCAGTCCTGAAATAGTTATTATTTACCTTAAGATCTCTATGTACAACACCTTGGGTATGCATATAATCCACAGCTTCAAGAATTTGCTTAATCAAATGGCTAGCATCTTTCTCAGTGTAGCTTCCTTTCTCTACTATTCTATCAAATAATTCTCCTCCTGTAACCCTGATAAAACACATAAAGATATAAAGTATCATTACATAGTCTTAAATCGATTTAGAAAATACAATCTACATTGTTTCTCCTGAATACAGAAAATGTATCATAAAATCAATTAGTTAACTGTTTGAATATTTCTTTGAAGCACATTTGAAAAATTAGTAAAAAAGAACAGAGTCCAGAAATTGAAGGAAATTTAATTTGGTTTAAAACAGATATCCAAGAAAATATGAAAAAAACAAAACTATTTGGATACATGATGAAACTTTGTAGAATTGATAGCAACTGCCTGCTGTAGAGACACAAGTATAGAGGACAACATTTCAAAAGTCTTCCGCCTGAAAACGAAAGGTGGAAGACTTTTGAAACATCATCCTCTATACTTGTGTCTTGACAACAGGCAGTTGCCATCCATTCTACAAAGTTTCATCATGAATACTCTGCCTAAACAATCTATCAAAGAATATTTGGATACATCTGAAAGCAGTAAAGTAAATGTTGTGTTTCACCTACTGTTGTAAGAGTTGTCCAAAATAAGCTATGTAGAGAAATGTACTACTCTGTATGTGACTAAAATTTTATCACAAAACTTTTAAAGAAAGACACCAGTTTTAATCTTAACAATCCATGCATGACTATGCTGCAGATGATTACTTCAGAATCAATTGAAATTTCTCCTTTTTTTTAGAAAAAATAAAAGGAAAAGTACTACAATAAATTAATATTTTTAAAAGTTAGTTGTCTTAAATGATATTTATTTACACAGGGATTGGCACTGTTTTATTAAGAAACAGTTGTCCTTAGTTATGCTAATTCTTGGATGATATATTTTGTACTTAATTTTCACTGGTTCATGCATCTTTAAAGAGCTATGGTCAATCCATAACTGATATAACTGGTCAAAGAATAGTTTACAACAGTAAAAAAGTTAATCACATGTCTATCTTATACTGCATGAATAGGCACATGACAAGCTCATAGTCACTGAACTACAGTGTCAGAAAAATACTTACAATTCCATAACTAAATAAACTTTGCTCTTGTCTTCAAATGTCTCAATTAACTGAACAATATTTGGATGCTTTAACCTGGGGAAAAGAAATCAATGAAATAAATAGGCGATTATTCCAAATACTGAGCATGAATACATTCAAACACTGTTAACATGAGAGATTAAAATATACATATTGTTACTTACTATATTCCTTTATAATCAGCTTTACTAAAAGTACTATACAAAATTCAAAATTTAAACTGTTAAGGAATTCTTAACATATGCATGATGTTAGAAAAACATGTAGGTTCAAGAAGTCTTGATAGAAATGAATAAAAACTCTATAACCTGAACACTTTCGAAAGGTGGACCCGAAGAAGAAAGGTCTACCTTTTGAAAGCACTTGGGTTATAGGGTTTTTACTCATTTCTTAACATATGCTTCTTTTTATCTGTTTTTAAACTGCTAGATTTATAATGAAGAAGAAACGTAATTGTGCTTCAAATGTGTCATTAATTTGTAATTAGTGAAACCAATCATTTTCTTTTCCATACATGACAAAATTCATCTTTTAACTAATCTAAAACACTTTAGTCAGGAAATTTGTTAATTAACTCCCATAATGATTGTTGAAAAACTCAGACTTCATTCAGTTAGAATTAGCTATAAATATAATGTATTCCTATACACACATGCATGTAGATGCAGCTCACATTTCTTTGAACAAATGGGAAACAGGGTTGGGCTTCATTTGTTTTCTCTAATTATTCCCTAGATACAAATTACTGTATTTCCTATTGATGATCTTTGGGTGTGGTTCCAGTGATGAGAGAATTACATTCTATAATGATGTATACCCATTTCTTAAAACTGCCAAGAAAGATACTAAGATACTATTAAGAAACCAAAAAGTTGTATGACTTTTATTTTAAATACATTAAGTGCATACAAAATATCTGATTCTCTCTGGACTTCAAATCTTAGTAAGATAAGTTTGAAAAAAATTACATTTTTTAAATTTTTTGAAATTGCTACTTACAATACAATAAACATACACAATTTAAAAAAGCATATGTTGAGCAGGAACAGGCTTCAGGGCTATTTTCTAAAATATTTTATCACTCTGAGTGCTTTACAAACTCTGCTATGCTCTAGGAAGTACAAATATTATAATCTTATCTTTAAAGTGTGGTATTGCAGCATAAATTAACATTTTTAAGAAAAGTGTTTCTTACATAAAGACTTGGTGTTTAAAAAAAATGTTATAGTACAAATTAATTCCCACATTTCTAAGTTAAACATGATTTCTCTAACTTTAAATTATGACTTGATCCACTCTCTCCAGAATTGAGGAAGTAAAATGGGAGATACAATTTCCTGAAAACATTAGACATGTAGATAAAAGATTACTTCTAATCCTTTAAATACTTATACTTTCAAATCTTAAAACCACTGTTCATAAAAAACATTTGGCCTTTATAAATTAACCCTCCCACTCACTCCTCCCCCATAAGCTCTTTTACTGCAAATTATTTACACTTTGGATCAACAAGGCAGCTTCCCTTGGGTAACTATGCTCAAAATGTCAGCTATCAACCCACTCGTGGTCTCTCTTGAGAAAGAATCAATATCATAAGTTACAGAGGAAACAATGCTGTGTGACAGTGAAACTTGTATAACTAAATAAAAAATCTCCGGTTCTGTTTCACTAACTGTTGACAAAGAAAAAAATGTTAAAGCATAAAGTATTGATCTGACCTTTCCAAAAAAACAAAAGATATTTAAAAACCTGGGTATGCTGTTATTTCTACTCTCTGTATTTAATTATTATTAAAATAAAGCACAAATTAAATAAAAAAGTTACGCTCACATGTACTGTCATTTACATTTTTTATATGAAACTAATAAACTTCATGCTACTACCTTAAAACCTACATAAGTAACAGAATGTGAACTTGTACATTATAGTAAGTTCAGCCCAAAGGTGAAATTCTCAACAAAAAAAGTGTGTATACAACAAATAATTTTACTCATATGTCTAACTTATAATAAAGTTTACTAAAAAATAAAACATACACAACCATTGTTTTAAAGAAACAAAAATATGTATTATAAACAACTGAATTAAATACTTCATAATTGTAAATTTATCTCAGATGTCTTTTTTTTTTTTCTTTTACTTTTCATTCTGATGAATAGCAAAAAGAAGACATTATACATACTAATATCAGGGGTGGGTACCAATTAATGTGCATCAACCAATAAAACAAGTCATTTGGATATATTTATCATTATTGACCAGTCATACAAATCACACAGCCAGAGGAGACTATTCAATTGGTTTAATAATGATGGACATTGAAGCTGCTAAGTAACTTTTCCTTGTGATCTTGTTGCCAATATCTGCTTTCTGGTTAGACTGCATACAGGTTAGACAAAAACCAAATCAAATATGTCCCAGTACTGAGTACTGACATTGAAATAAGTTCTGAGACTGAGTACAATCATTAAAACACACCCTGGTACTGAGTATTGGTGAGTTTCAGCACAACTTCATCCCTAACATAGCTGAACATTAATACAACCTATGTGATATACCTGGCTTTTCCTGACTTTAATTCTGCTTACCATACTGTAAGTTACATAACCCACAGCTAAATTTAGTTTGCCATCCACTTAAGTATTGATGGATCTGATTGTTAATACATACATGTTTTACTCAGTTAGCATATATACATAGTATGTACATATACAAACACACAATTCAAGGCAGCAAAACATACAAGTGATAGAAATTTAAGTGAGTTTAGTCATTTATCTAAAGTTTTTTGCTTAAAAAACGTTACATCATTAAGATATCTTATTGACTATACTAGTCAATCACAAAAACAGGAAAAACACAACCAGCACAAACAGCTTTGGAAAACATTAAAATTAGTTTTGACAGCATAAAGAAAATAATTGAATAATAAATTTCTTTGTCAAAAAAGGAAGATATCACAAACTGAAAGTTTCCATTGCTATAGGCATTTACCAACTGTTTCTGTTACATGTAGTTCATTACAAGATATGTTCAGGAACATAAGAAAGTACTGTGGCCAATTACTAAGTCATATAAATATATTGACTGAACATGTATCATATGCTGTATGAGCTGTTCAAACACTCAGAATTAAAAGTCTGTGGACACACCTGACATACTTATGCATACAAACTGATGGAAATAAATAAATGTGTGTGTGTGTATATAATTTTATTCTTTAATATACATACATGCTGTACCCTGCTCGTACAGAAAACCTACATACCTCCTTAAAACTTTTATTTCATTCTCAAGGGAGTCTTCCTTTCCTTTGAGAGCTTTCTTGTCAATGCATTTAATGGCAACAAGCTTCTCAGGCTCATCTCTGCTCTCTGCCAGAACCACTTGGGAAAATGCTCCTCTAGAAAATAAGTTAATACTTTATTAACTATCACATCTTCACTCTGTAAAAGTGGAATTATCAAAACTTGTGTTTCACCATATTATTCTCTCTCTCAAGGCTTCTTTCTTGTATTTGCCTGCTGCAATGTGTTAGAAAGTTTCAATGCTCAATATGCATACAAAAAAAAGGATTTAAATATACATTAAAGATACATTTTCTTAGAATATCAACTGATGAAAAACATTTTTTTTACTCATACTTCAGTATGATATTTAAATGTGTGTCTACATGTGCAGATTCATTTTGACACAAAATAATATACTCTACATTATCAAGATCCATAACACACACACACACACACACACAAATGGCTCAGGCTTTTAAGATATACAAAATTTATACATATATATTCTATAATTAAATCAGATTTTCCTTTGATTTACAAAAAAAAAGAAAGAAAGAAAGCTTGGAATTTCACAAAACAAATTCAGCTGTAAATAATTTGAAAATATTGCATGATGAACATTTCTGTTAATATACAAGGATATTTTTTTAATAATCAAAATACTATTTTAGGTACATTCCAAGTGCTTTCCCCTAGCAAACACATAAATGTGCAGTAATGTGATGCATTAAAAATTCCCATCAAGACCATGAAAACTTGCAGAATTTGGCAAGTATCTCCTTTTATGGCTGTAATATTTCACCCAGGTGACTTTGCTAGAGCCCTGAGGTTATGCAATCTAGATTATAACTTCCAGCAAAGAAAACTTCCTACTGATCAAACTCTGCATTTTCATGACAATACAAGATGCATGTGTGCATCATGAACAGAATACCTCAGAAATAATTAGAATCTTGTAAAAATATACTTTGAACAAAGTGTCAAATTAAAAACAGGTCAAAAAATTTAAACTATACAATATGAACATTAAATATTTATTTAACACACAATTTCTGTAACACCAACGTTATTGCCATTATCTTTTCTAAATGAGAGAGTTTATCTGATTATGACACTCCTTATTTGTGATAAAGGTAACTCAGATAACACTTTTTTTTATTAACATTCTTGTTTGAAATCCATAGTGAAAAAATGAAGTGTGAAAAAAAAAATACACTTGTAGCCTAAGTTATTTTTATCACAAATGTTAGGCATTTTGGATTCCAATGCTTCTTCATCAGCTTTTGGCAATCATATTGTAACTTTGAAATTATTATACTGTATACATATAAACAATCTAATAATATTTTACCTCTCACCATCTAGATCAGTTGACAAGTTCTGATAGTGAATGAAAGTATTCTTTGGCAATGACTTGTTGACACAAAAGATAGATCTGAAATGCTATTTATACACACCTCTAGTTTGAAGTATACAGTCCAGAAATGTGAAATAAAAACTCTGCAGTCTAAGTGATTTTGATCACTAACATTAGGTCTATTGAACCCAATGCTATGCCAGCTTTCAAGCCGTAACTATGACAATTCTTGTATAATTTGTACAAGTACCTAACTATATTTTAGTTACACTTATTAAAAAGTTTTTATAACAAAGAAAACTGAATACTTTTATAGTTTGGAAGTCATACAAAAGATTGAGTAGCAATTACAAGGTTTTTGTTTTATTACAATGCATAATATGGAGAGTGTCAGCTTTGCAAAATGAAAATTAACCATATTACTATAACAAGTAAAACCTAACCAAATCTTTTAACAAGTACAAGTTAACCATATGTATGACAAATGAAAAAGAACCATATGTGTAACATAAAACCTAGCCATATATGAAGTAAATGCAATCAACTGATTGAGGAGCAAAATTTTCTTTTATCGTTCCAAACAATATTCTTTATAAGATAACCACTCAGATCATAGGTTACTAACTGGGAGTCTTACAAAGAGCATTGTAAGTGCATGAAAACATTGTATTTTTGACATGTAATTTAAAATGCATTCTAGTCTTAAATGTTTAATCCATCACATGTGAAGAATGCTATTGGTTTAGGTCAGATTCCACAAGAACATCACTCACTTAAACTGATCTGCAGCAGACATCTTTACCCACTTCAACCTGTGCATTACAGACATTTCTGAGTAATATTTTAATCATTATAATGTTTGAAAAAGGAAAGAAAAAACACTAAAACATTACAACAGCTCTTGAAATGATTAAAGCCTTCTCAAGAGCCAAGTACTGGCATAATTATGAATGTAAAATCTTACACAAATCAGTAAAATATAACTCTTTCTAATCTTATATATCATATCCATATCACGCATACCACTAAAAATTTTTGCAATTCTGATTCATTAAATAGCTTTAGAAACAATAGCTTCTTCTGCAGTTTTAAAGATGACCTGAACAATGAACCAACACCATGCAAAGAATAATTTCCTAGAACTTGACTGATATCATTTTCAAGTGGATGTTTATTTACAAGAAAATATTAGTGTCTAAATCTCAGAGTCCTAAACAAATCTAACCAGTAAAATTTTATTTTGTTAGATATTGAACAACACAAGTCTGAAATCAAATCAAATGTTTAATTACATTTAAATTATTTCCAGTCTTTCATTCAAATCATGTAAATGCTGAACAGAATTAAAATATTCTATCGTTCTTTTAATTTAACCAGCATTTAAATGGTGGGAACATGTTCGAGTTAGCGCAACTTTTCATGTCACCTAATAAAAAGTTGAAATTTAAGAAATGAGCAAAAACAACAAGAACTATAGGCTTTACATAATAAACAAAAACAAAAGGCATTCATGGAATTATTAAAATTATGATATTATAAATCTCTAACTGCATCTGACAGATCACTAAAACCTGTACTACTTATACAAGAAAGCATTTAATTTTGTTTCTTTGATACTGATTTCTGTCAGTTGTTTCTTCTCCATGGGTTTCAGTTATTGATTTTTGTAAAGAGAGATTCAAATGCCACATGAGAGTACACACCTACATACATAACCATCATGTAATTATACAACAAATTCACATGAAATAAAAGTCACACATAATTTATAAGATTGATCTTATATATCAGTTGAAAATCTCTATACCAAAGCATACCTTTTAAAGAAATTTCTACAAAGAACTTGGTATCAGTCACATCCATGAAGTATTGAAATTTTATTTTTTATTCATCCATAAACTCATGTTGATTGTGAAAACAAACAGAAGGAATGAAACAAAAATAATTTTGATTACAAAAACAATGCATAAGATATTAACTTTTACTTAAATTGTATCAAAGTTTCAGATTATTCTAAATCATATATGAACAGTACTATATATACACCTGGAAAAAAGTTAAGCACCCCCGTGTTTTTTCAAGTGATTCAGATTCGACGTTCTTGTGACTGATTATAAATTACCACTCAATCTAAACGTGTTTATCAAATGAATTTATGCATTATTGGGCACAAGAAAACAAGATT